TAATTCTTTGACAGTAAAGCAATGAAAAATTCTAAATCAATATCTTAGAAACGTAGTTGTTTTGTTTATCAATAGTTCGTAAGTTAATGCAGCTTTACCTGAGTAACTTTTTAGTTCCAGCAGCCTCGATTTCTTTTCTCGCCTCCGCCACCTTCTTCAGTTTATCTTGAAGCGATTTCAATCGATGATGCACAAAATCTTTCAGGGGAGAAATCTCAATTTTATCTACTTTCCCCTCGATCTCTTTTTGCACTTCGTTCAGAGCTTGCTGCCAGATCTCTTCCTGCTGTCCTAATTTATAGATCGCGTCCTCAAGGCCGTGAGCAAGATCGTCGCATGCTGCGTCAAATTGGTCGTAAGAAACCTGAGAAATCAGTGAAATTCTCATTATTCATTTTTCTTGCACTTAATTGGCAAGTGAAAATTTCCAAACCTTTCGCTGTATCACGTGAGCATCGGCTTTGTCCGCAAGAGCTTCTTCGAGATCTTCTCTATCGGCTTTGATAGTTTTCAAAAGTTCCACCTGTTCCAATAGTGCCTAAATATGAAATAAACTAAAGTATATAAATAGGTAATAGGAGAAAATGGAGTACTGAAGGAAACGATTGAAAAATATATTATAGTACATTGACTAACAAATACATTGTAAACGTACTAACATTAAGATGCATTTCACGCGATTCACGATCGTCGATCAGACGATCCACGGTTTGACTCAATTTCTCCATTTCAGTTTGAATATAGTTGATCCTGGTGACAAATTCGTCGATATCGGTACCTGCGACACCAGTCATTGGTGCACTGTCCACTTTCTCGAACAAGCAAATCACATCCTTCTCTAATTTTGCAATTCGTTCTCTGATGTCCTGTAATTCTTCGGAATCTACTGTTTCCTCCAGTGTTTCCGGTGATTCTACAGGTGATTTCGGTGACTCTACGGGTGATTTCGGTGATTCTACGGGTGTTTTCTCAGGCAATGCTGTTTTCTCTGTTTCTTTCTTAGGCGATTCTGGTTTCTCTGTTTCTTTCTTAGGCGATTCTGGTTTCTCTGTTTCTTTCTTAGGCGATTCTGTTTTCTCTGTTTCTTTCTTAGGCGATTCTGGTTTCTCTGTTTCTTTCTTAGGCGATTCTGTGTTCTCTGTTTCTTTTGATTCTTCTGCTGTCTCTATTTCCTCGCGATACTCTGTCTCTAAATTTTTTCGTGCTTCCTCGATCGGTTGCTTGTCCGTTTCTGCAGTTTGTCCCTTTGCTTCTGTCATTTTCTTCAGTTCTATAAAGTCTCAAAAAGGAACGTTGATTTTTATATTTATACGAAATATCTTCCATCATTTTGCAAATCGAATCGCAATCAGATTAGTTGAAAAAGTTCCAGCAACTGTAAAGTAATTTTGAAATTCGAAATTTTATTAACTTGGAATTTGAGATAAGTTATAAAATTACCGAAGAAAATAATCCTTGAAAGTATCGAAGAATATTTGAAACACCAAAAGTAAATAATTATTAATAAGATTCATCGATTCCCTGTGATTACAATACTTATGATTTATTACCAGTTTCTGTCTTAGCAATCTTTTCATTCAGATCTGTCAATTGATCCTTCATTTGGCTAACTTCCGTTTGTAAGGTGGCCACGTCTTTGTGCATTTCTTTGATGTCTATCCCTCCTAGAAGCTCGCTTAATGAAATTCGTTTCGTTATCGGCTGCTCTCCTTCGTGTTCACGCTGAGCTTCATCTTTTTCATCGGCCTCGGCATCAGCATCTTGCTCAGCGCCAGAGATTAATTGTAAATTCTTCACGACGTGATCCAAATTGTTTAAAGCGTTTTCCAAATTCTCTAATCTTTCTTCGAACATCGACATGTCCGCCGTTGCGAGCGTTACGTCACCCTTCATTACATCTTGCATCATTTTTGTCAACTGGAAGAGAATTATCTTTCAAGTTTCACCTCTACAGTTTTATGGAGAGATGAAGATAAACGAGATAGCTTTGTCTCTGGATATCGTGCTACGTTTGTACAACAATTTAAATAAGATCATATTTTTGTAAAAGATTTTCTAGATTGAACACACTTGATTAGTTAACTATAGAACTAGAGCTATCGAAACTAAAGTATGAAAATTATATCAGAAAAATGAGAATGCAAGAAATAGAAACAAACTTACAATATAATGATCGAAGCTTCTATTTCACAGAAAAATCAAATTCATTCAAATCTCTAAAAATATATCGTTGTAGAAAATCTCTGTATAATATCTATAATTTCGTACAAAATCATTAATTAAGTTCATTAATTCTTCTTTTATAAAATTTATTAATCATCACTGGTTGATTTGTGTCAATCGCAATATAATTTTATGACTGCGCAGTAGTAGGACACATCGGGAAAATTGTTAAGTTTTCCCATTGTCAGATTAAGTAACGATTGAAGCAATCAAGTTATACCTTATCAATACCTTGTTCACTAGCGTCCAATCTTTTCGTAATGTTGATAATTTGCCAAACATCGGTCAGAGGATCGGTGACTTTACCTTTTAGTCGTTCGAGAAGCTCTGGAGTTGTTGCTAAGTCTTCGAGCGCTTGAAATCGTTGTTGAAGTTCTTTCACCTATATGAATGATTTCAATTACAATTTGTTTACGCAGGATAAATAATTATTTTCATTACATTTTGTTCGAGACGTTTGAAACTCAAAACTGTAGGCGTTGCACCATCAACAACTGGTTCTACAAAGATCACAGTCTCGTACTCGCCTTCTGTCCCAGGACCAATTTGCTTCCTGACGCCTTTTGTCTTTTTTAAATCCTCTTATAAATTCGGTTACATATAATTTATTATTATCAGACAGAATAGTGCACAGTGCAAAATCGCATAGAATGTAAAAAAATATATAAAACATGCCAGATCGAAATTTCTGCGATTATGTGTATAAAAATTCAACGTCTGATTATTATTATTATTATTCGTTTCAATCTGAATCGTTACTGTTTCCCCAAATCTTTCACTTCGTATAAATTAAATTTCAAATAAATTTAAAATACTGTGAGTGGAATTTTATAATTTCTTAATTTTCTATACTTTCTATTGCATATATATAACAAATGATAGATACATACCACGTTCTTTTTCAAACTTTTCGCGTTCAATAACCGGCAGACTGACAGGTCTTATATCAACTGTTCTTGCTTCCTCAAGTTCTGAAATGAAAGTAGTATTAAGAGTATTAAAATAATGGAGGTGTATTCGATTAATCAAATACATCAAACTATTTTTTTACCATCAACGAGTACGTCCACTTTCGCACTTATAGCATCGGTACGAACTCGATGTTTCACTTTACCGGAATCATCGATAATATTATATTCTTGAAGATAAAGCGAAGGACCTGTTCTCAGGGAACTTACCATCGTCTGAAAATTTTGTCATACTCCGTTAAGCCCCAACAATTTCTTGCAACTCTATCCAATTTCGCTAAACTAAAGAAAAATCACTGTTTCACCTTGATTCGATTAGCATCGTCGCCACGGTACTCAACTTTGGTCGATCCTAAATTTATCCGATGCAGTAAAATATGAAGGAAGTTGTGGAGGATGTTCAAGTTCACCGCTCCAACCTAGACGCGAACGTAAGAACGACGCACCTGCCGTTAAGGTATTTCTTATCTTTCGTTTCATGAATTATTCCCCCGTGACTTTACGAACGATCAATGATAAATTCTTCTTACTTCCGGTGTTCCTAAGGCGAGGTCCAACATTTGAGGCAAAGAAACCTGTAAACTGGCCACTTGCTCAGCAGCAGGAGATGGAGATGCATTCGGTAGTGCGGTTTTTGCCGACATCCTCCTTCACTCCTACAATTTTTTCAAAGTGTTCGTTAAAAAAAAAAAACATAATAAGAAGCCCTTTCGATTTTACGGTAACCTTTCTCGCTGTTCTGTCTTTCAAACGTCACGCGGACATGTCATTTCGGGGGATTGTTGATCTTCTTTTGTTCGATCGCGGCATCACGATTAAAGGTTTAATTAAAGAGAAACAACATTTAACATTGAAAGTGAATATATTTATACAATAAGTTTAAGTAGAATCATATATAGGTGAGCATAATAAAAGGAAGCATTTCATATATCACAAAGGTGTGTGTGTGTGTATATATATATAATATGTGACTTTCATGAAATTCTAGGATCATACTGATTGATCTGCTCATGAGACAAATTTTTCAATGATGGAAAAACTCTTCAGCAAGAAATTTTGAATTTTTAAAATTTTTGAAAAGAAAAGTATCTTTACTATCTGCTGCATGATGTAAAATAAAGTATCTTCGAAAGAAAGGAACTTAGGATTGTTGAAGTACACATTTCATACTTTTAAATAAAACCAAGTTAATTGTTAATTTTTTTCTCACGAACAGTTGTAACAGTTTAAAATATTGACAATTTTTCATCCAGTGTACGAATATTTTCGTTCTTTTTTAAGAATTTCTCATGAATTTTGTGTTTGTTTTTTTATTTAGACTAGAGTTTTTTAGTTCTTATTCCAAGTTAACATTTTGAAATGCGCGCGTATTGGTTTTAAATGTTACAGCGCCAACAGTGCAGTATGGAATACACTTCCTACGATTCTCGAACGTAATCGATATTTCTCGATCGATTTTAAGCGGTATACATGGCGGAAGAAAACACATCTCGTCTGTAAAGAAGAAAGTATTATCCAAAAGAATCATCCAGAAAGAAGTGTCATCCAGAAGTTTTCAGGCAAAAATTTAAATCAATAGTTGTTAAATTTGTGTCTATGTTGTAAATCTTTAAGACAAAACGTGCATTTTTGACTCCAACTGAAAGTAAGATTTAACCAAATAATTATTACATACAATTTTTAACAATTAAAGAAATAATGGCATATAAACATTTAAATAGAACATAAAATGCTAAAAGTTATTCATAATTTCATACCAAAATTTAATTTCAATTCTAACCAATACAAATATTGTGACCTTGTAATGTGACTAACTTATTATTATATATAATGTATATATAATATGCTTTTATTTTTATTGTAACATTTTCTCATGTAACAATCAACTCATTTGTTGATTCTTTAATACTACGTATTAAATTCTTACAATTTCAATACAATTCCAATTCCAATACTCAACAATAATTTATTAAGGATGTACATATTTAATGGTTAAAATAATAATTCTGCTACGTAATAACATACAATTTTTCATGTTTCAGTTTAAAATATTGACAATTTTTCATCAAGTGTAAATTCTTTTTCAAGAATTTTTCATGAATTTGATTTAGATCAAAGTTCTTTTACTTTTCATTCCAAGTTATTACTTTGTGCGAAACGTGCGATTACAGCGCCACAACGCGGTGAAATACGCAATATATTTCCTACGATTCTCGAAGGTAATCGATATTTCTCACGATCGATTTTTAAACAACAGTCATGGCGGAAAGTAGACCTCATCTGTAAAGAAATAAACATCATCCAGAAAAATCATCAGAAAGAAGTATCATTCAGCAGTTTTCAGGTAAAAATTTAAAATCAATAGCAGTTAGACTCGTGTTTGTGTTGTGAATTTTTAAAATAAAACTTGCACTTTGGCTTTAATTCATCGAAATCTGTCAGATCACTAAAACCAGTGCACAATTTTTAGTAAAAGAAAGTAAAATCCCCTAAAGAAAGATTTAATCAAATAATTATTACATGTAATTGATTAAAGAAATAATAGACATTTAAACAGAATTATGCTAACAGTTATTTATAATTTCATATCAAAATTTAATTTCAATTCTAACCTGTACAAATATCGTAATCTTGTAATTGATTAACTCATTGTTATTTACATACACACACACACACACATAAACACATCACACCTCTATTATAACATTTTCTACTTATTTGTTGATTCTTTAACTTCATACTAATTCTAACTAATTCTAATACTAAATTCAACAATAATTTATTAAGAATGTACGTACTTAATAGTGAAAGTAATAATTCTACTGTGTAATACAATAAAATTTTCCATTTCTCAAATCAAGTAAAGCGTGGAAGGCCCTGAGCTCGGAACTCGGAGTTCAAAACATAAACATAACGCTTACGTATGTGTATAAGCCTCTTATTATTAATTGTCGAAGAATTGAAGAACGAGACGTGTCACGGAGAGTCAGTCAGCTATGGAATTTCGTGACAATAGCACGTATTATGTCGTATTAGATTCGTAACATTTTCTAACCTATCGGTGGCGTCTCTTTGATGGCGTATCTTCTTCGACACTCTTTTACTTCCATTTATACCTCATTAATAACATCATTTAATTAACACGCGTATGTTTTACGATAACAAAATCGTGTAGTGCTCTGGAATTTATCGCGTCTATTTTCCTTCAGTCGTTAATTTCACTTGTACAGTTACCGGCAGATCATCTCGTACGTCTCCTTTGGTTTCTCTTTGTGCAGATTATTCATTATAGAATGTATAGATGGCACTATTAACAATATGATGAACTTTCACGGAAATTTGGCAACATGTTATTCATCTTGGGTAACATTTGATATACAATACGTAATTTCGTAATTATTTGGGATACAAAGATGAAAATAGAAAAGATTAAATCAATTAATATTTTATTTGGATATATACCAGCTTAACATTTCAGAATACAATAATCGTCTCTCATTTACGGTATTCAGTATTGAGAAATGTTTTATAATTTACAACTAATATCTTTAATACATATTCAAGTTTCTCTCATGTTCTAGAAAAATAGCAGTAATTTCTAAATGAATGTATTCTTCCCTCTACTACTAATCAGCTTTATTTCCAGAAAATTTTTGTGACCGCGAGCAATGCGGTAAATGGAGTCAGTGTTGTACAATATTTTAATATTTTTCGCGAGTAAAATGGCTCTCATTAAATTAGATTATTAAGTCATTTAAGTTATAATTCGCGAAGTTAGAGTCAGTGATCCTCCGATTGTTACTTAAACGCACGCATTGATGGTTTTTTATTTTTCTTTTTTTGTGTTTTTCCTTGTTCAATATTCGATATTAGAGTCAGTGCTCAAGAAAATAAGGCCTTTCCAGGAGATCAAGATCGTAAGTAGTTTCATTCATTTTTCAAATTTAACAACGAAGTATAATGTTTGACGCTCATTTGTTACAGATGACGCTTTACAGCAACAATTTTTTTGCACTTTTGGCGGGAAAATTCAACGATAGCTGCCAAGAATGTAAGAATTTCTCATTATTTTCAACTCAAGATTTTGTCTTTGCTTTTAAATATAAATTCTAATGTTTAATGTTTACGTTATAGATCTTCTACAGTTTCTCCCAAACCTTCAAGAATTTTATGATGTTTCAAAAGCTAAAAATGTAAGTACTTTAGCATGGTATGTCTAAATTTTGTTCTTTATAGTTCTCTTTCTATTGAAGTCGAATATAAAATTATAATTATAAAATAGACTTCAAATTATTAGTCTCAATTTTTATCATTATTAAAATTATTAAAATTAAATTTTCACAATTAATATTTTAAAAACAAAATGTTTTATATTTTCTAAGAAATTTTTCACGGCGTCTACTCCCACCATCAGATTCTCAATGACATCTACTTGATGAGGATCTTCACGATAATTTTTCCTGCTCCAGTGCAACATCTGTTATAACGTTCTTCATATCCCGTGAGTCGCATGCATTTATGTTCCTCTAGTCACTCAATCATATCGTAAGACAACAAGTCTGAATCGGTACGGGTGACTGGTTGTATAAGTAGAATTCTTGATGAGTATAGTGACCGTGGATATATTTTATACTCGTGAGTAGTAACATTTTTTCTGTTTTTTTTTT